TTTTTTTTTTTTCAGACTAGACTCAATGGAGAAAGTAAACCAATCTGTGGTGTCTGAATTTGTTATTCTTGGGCTTTGTGATTCATGGGTGCTCCAAGCCTTTCTCCTAGCGATATTTTCTTCACTTTATTTGATCACCATTTTAGGCAACATCTTCATTGTGGTCATAATCATTACCGATCTCCATCTCCACTCCCCTATGTACTTCCTGCTAGCCAATCTCTCATTCATTGACTTCTGCCTTTCCTCAGTCACTACCCCTAAAATGATCACAGACTTTCTCAAGAAAAACAAGACCATCTCCTTTGGAGGTTGCATGTGTCAGATTTTCTTTGGACACTTCTTTGGAGGGGGTGAGATGGTACTGCTTGTGTCAATGGCTTATGACCGTTATGTGGCCATCTGCAAGCCACTCCATTACTCCAGCCTCATGAACAGACATACGTGCATTCGGTTAGTGATGGCATCATGGACCATTGGCTTTGTGCATTCCATAAGCCAACTAGTTATGATTGTAAAGCTGCCCTTCTGTGGACCCAGAGAATTGGATAGCTTTTTCTGTGATATTCCATTGGTGATCAAGCTGGCCTGCATGGACACTTATATTCTAGAAATGTTGATAAATGCTGACAGTGGGATACTGGCAATCATCTGCTTCATTCTGTTGCTGATCTCTTACTCTCATATTCTGTTTACTGTCTGCCTTCACTCAAAAGATGGAGCATCCAAGGCCCTCTCTACCTGCACTGCCCACATCACAGTAGTGGTGCTCTTCTTTGGGCCCTGCATTTTCATCTATCTCTGGCCAGTCAGCATCACCTGGGTGGACAAGTTTCTTGCTGTATTTTATGCAGTCATCACACCTCTCCTAAATCCAGCCATTTACACCCTAAGAAACAAAGAGATTAAAAATGCCATGAAGAAACTGCAATGTTAGCATATGGATTTCAGTGGATAGTTAAGGGTCTCCCATTATCAGAATGTTCAGTGAAAGGTCCCTAAATTAGACACACCTGTCCTATTACTCTGGGCTGGGAAGCAGTGTAATAAAGAAAGCAGTAAGAAGAGTGGAATTGTTTGACACATTTGCAAATTTCTTTAGCATGTGACTTAATAGAAGCAATAGAAGCCTTTGCCTTGATTCTGTTGCAATATGTGGTTTTGCTGGAAGTATAGAAAGATCATCTGGCCTTACAAGATATGTAGTTGGACTGAATAAGTATCTGTTGATTTTGGTGCAAAAATAATGGTGAAAGCAAGTGAGATTTAGCACAAGCAAGGCAGTGGCTCAAACTGATATCATGGTATTCCTCATCACCACACACAGTAAAAAAAAAAA